TTTGCAGTTTTTCTTTTAATTGTTTTTAGTAAATTATTACAATTTGTGACTCAAATTTCAGACAAAAATTACTCTATAGAAGGATATTTTGCAGTGTGTGCAATAAAAGCAGGTATAGCTGTTTATGTTTGTTATTCTTTTTGTAGCAAGGTTTTTAATGCTGCCCTCTTGGCCAGGTCTCTACTTGGACTGTACTTGTATAGAACCTTCCTAATCTTCCAGCCACTCAAAGCGCTTTTACACTACCTGCCACATTCACATACATTCATACAGAAACTAATTCACATTCATACACTGATATACAGCATCAGGAGCAATTTGGGGTTTAGTATCTTGTCTAAGGACACTTCAACATGCAGCGGGAGGAGCCAAGGATCGAACCACCAACCTTCCAATTAGTGGACAACCCGCTCCACCTCCTGAGCCACAGCCGTTCTACCTCCCTTGTGTAGAGAGCATTAATGTATTTTGGGAGCATTGCTTTTATTCAGTAACAAATCTTTTTTAAGAATCAAGTGAATTGTTTCAGAAGTCCACTCGAGAACAAAGCGAGAACCCTCCTTCCCACACTGTTAATGAAGAATGAAAAGTGTCACACTGACACAAGGACATGCACACAAATCAAAATAAAGATTTTAAAGTAATTGTTTGCCTGTCAGCTGGAAGAAAATAATACAATCAAACAAAACAATCACCAATCACACCTTGATTTTCACTTGAATGAAAACCCTGTTCTCCAGTATGAAACTAAAGTCCCACCCTGGATGATTGTGATTGCTTCTCCATCTTAAATACAGTACAGGACCAGCTTTGAGTGGGTGGTGTGGTAACGCATTCTGTTATCCCCCCTCCCCCCCGCTGAGCTGAACTGTTGAGCCCAGCCTTTTCTGTGGAAAAGAAAAATAAACACTCAAATTTTGAAAGAGCAGAAGGTGTGAAAAAGTACAGAGGGACATGCATCTTATCACTGCCTGGCACACATGGTGTTTTATCAGTTGATAAACACTTGGGTGTCAATGGTCACATAATATTTCTGTTTATATTGCTGGCTGGTAATGAGAAGCTCATTCAGTTTCCTTCTCATTCACTGCGTAGAGTCTTTGACGAACCTGTCTCAGCTTTGATTGTCATAACCGCAAATGAACCCTGCTTAGCCACCCAGGTCAGGCTACATAAATGCCATACATATTTCATGCAGCATCCCAGTAAACTGACAACGGGATTTTTCTTTTTTCTTTTTTATGTGAATTGAAATCACGCCTCATATTTCATTAGACACTCGGAAAAAGCCTCCGGTCTGTGGTCAGATGGGCTGTATGTTTTATTCATGTCCTCTGAACATCTGCTTGTCCGGATGTCAAAAATCATCAGGCTCCCACAGGACTCCTGCCCGACTGGTTGTAAATGAACTCCAAAGTCGAGACTCAAAACAACCTGTCAGGGCTCTCCACCACCAGAGGAATCTTTCAATACATCAGCGGAGGTGAGCTGAGTAGCTGAGATCTTGTACTGGAAATGAGTGATGAATGTCAACTTTGGACACACGTGAGGGTTTATTTATTTATTTATTTATTTTAAACAGAAATTAAAAGCGTGCACTCTGATTCAGCTGGTGTGATACTGTGAAAAGCTTTCTAATACAAGTTGCGTCTTCTTCCCACAGCTTTTGGTGGATTTTGACACTGCTGTTCACTCTGGCTCCTGGTCGACAAGTCTCCCTGAGTCACTGGAGGCTCGTGCCAACTGGAGGGAAAGAGCCTGACCACTAACAAGTGCTCACTGACTCATAGCCGCCACAGTATGTCCCACTGTGTTTCTGTGTGTGTGTGTGTGTGTGTGTGTGTGTGTGTGTGTGTGTGTGTGTGTGTGTGTGTGTGTGTCTTCATATACTATTCTATTATATACTATTCTATTTCTCACTTTGCACCCATCCCACAGAAAATGTGTGCTCTTTTAGAAATGATCATGTGTTTTAGCTCACATGCAGTGCCCTCCCAAACTCAGCTGTAACAATGATGCGTTAATAAAGTAAAAAAACTAAATGAAACCAGGAAATACTAAGAGGAAATATCGCAACCAGTAAAGCGGTATTGAGTTTTTTCTTCTTCTTTAGGGGACATTATAAAAAGGAATTTTACTCTGAAGTTTTTTTTACTCTTAATTATTGCCATCCATTGTTGCATTGTTCAATTTTTCACAATTTGTTGCAATTTGACTGCACTAAAAATATTATCCATTAAGATTCCTATTATTCTGTTTTTCACACACTTTAAATCTGTTCTGTGCTCTGAAGGTCATTTAATATTATGTCTATTACCTCTGGTTTTATTATCCTGAAACTTTAACAACAACAACCCTCATATATGCTCATAAATGCTCAGCATGCTTCCATGAGGCTAACAATGGCAATGCTACCATGCTGATGTTTAGCAGGTTTGGTGTTTACAATGTTCACCATCTTAGTTTAGTGTGTTGGCATGTGAATGTTTTGCTAAGTAGCACTAAACATAAAGTACAGCTCAGGCTGATGGGAGTAATGTTGCAGCTATATGGTTCTAAACTCAAGGACTGAACAAGTTATAAATCTGACCTGATGATGGCGCTTGATAAAAAGTTAAGGGATCAACAAAGTCGTTATTATAATTCCTGGGGGGACATGACTGTGTACCAAATGTCACGGCAATCTATCCAATAGTTGTCAAGAGATTTCACTCAAAACTGCAACCATCATGGTGGCGCCAGAGGAAAAGTCAAAAGATCACCACAGACAAGAGGAAACATTGTCTGGTGGATTTCTGAAAGAAATTTCATGGCATTTTATCCAATAGATGTTGAGATATTGTTGTTGGCCCTTTTAACTGGGGTCAAACGAATTGCATCTTCACAGTTGTATAAGATCAACCTTTTATGACCTTTTATGTTCGACACTCATACTGCAAACACAACCACACTTAAACTGGAAAATGGTCTTAGCAATGGTGTTGCTAATTGCTTATAACAATTGCTTTACAGACCCAAAAGACACAGAAAAATATCAGCGTTTATTTGGAGCCATGTTTCTGTTTCTGCCAAATGTCTTTACTCTTATTTTAGCTTCTGTCTTGAGGGAAATATTTGACTAGAGCTAAATGCTTTACTAAGCTAGTTACACTAACTATTGTCAGCAGGTAACTTTGGTGCTGAGCAGGTAGTGTAGAACAAACATCTGCATCTAAAAACAACACTAGATAAGATTGAACCAAAAACATCAAAGTTTTGGACCATGAAACCAAAACAATAAGCTGAAAGATGCTAAAGTGCTTCATAGAGCTGAAGAGAGAAAAATGTATAGTCTGCAATAATTCTTGTTGGGCTCATCACGACAAACAACAACGTTCACATTACACATTACATTCTTAATAAAAAAGAATTGATTTTTACAGCTTTTAAACATCATATCTTGAGGTTTATATGATATTATTCAACCCTAAACTATTTTCTAACAATGACAAATACATAAGTTGGATGGGAACAAGGTCTTGACGTGACTCCTACTGACGCCGCTTGGGGTCTTGTAATCACATTCATCTATTTGTATATAACTGCTAGTTAAAAATGGCTCAGTGTCTCTTATTTTACTGGAGAAAAATGGGCCAAAATATATCCCACTTATGATGTCAGCAGTGACCAGCTACAATGGGCCATCTGTTCCGATCATGCATCTCCTTAAATAAGTTCTGGACCTCAATATTGGAAACAACACAATAGATCCAAATCTATTCATAGCAATATTAGACCTTCAACAGGACATTACTTTAGTCGAATGCTATACCATTTACATCAGTGGTAGCTTTTAAGGCTGCTTGAGTTCCCTCTTTAATACGATGGATCAAGAAGGACCATGATGTATCCTCAAACTGAGAAACTAATTTACTTTAAATATATAATTCTACGACATATAGACGACATCACTGACATATATATAAACAGGCTGTACAACTTTCTCTCTTTGTCATTATTGTCTGTACCATTGATATTGTCTTTTTGAAATAGGATAAACGTCTAAAAGAATAATAATGTCAAAACTTGATGAGTGCATTAGTGGCCGGATGAGATGTTTAAAGGCAGCACAGGCTCTCTAAATAGAGCCACAAATTGAGTGTGTCTTACTTAAACAACACATTTACATATCGCATATATACATTTGATGACAATTCCTTGTGACAGAATCTTTTATTTGTAAAACAATGCAGCTATTTGTTAATTTTTACAGCCCTTTTAACTATATAAAGAGTCTCAATGGCACTTTTTTGAGATCATGATTCCACAATCGCACTGTTGCATTTGTGACTTCCATTGAATCTCATTCGGGCTGCAATCAAAGCCTCCCTCCTCCCAAACAAACAAGGTGTTTTTCCTTCTTGTTCATCTATCTCTCCACCTGGCAGTGAGGTGCCATCGACACAGAGTGACAGCCTCTGCATTCATGAGCACATCATCATCTGCCCTCCTCACCAAGAATTAGCCCTTCATCACTCAAACCTTACAGAAGTTTTATCTGGACATTTTGTTTTAAAGCTTGGAAATCAATATTCACTGTTTGGATCATAAATAAGTGAAAAATGTGTTGTACATTTTAAACTCAACACTTTTATATTACAACCAAACATTAAGATTTTTTTAAAGTCACAACTGCCTACCAGTGGTAATTAATGAGTGATTATTAAGTGATCTCACCATATTTTCCTAAATGCTTCAGAATTCAGAAGTCATTTAATCTGTATATTTGTGTGAAGCCATCCTTCATTGCCAGCTCCTAGTGACTCCCTCCTTCCTTTCAGTGGCTCTATAGATTTTCTCCAAATGATAAATTGGACACGGGAGCCACTGAGGTGTGACCAGGTGCCAAAGGAGTATAGCTTCTTGTCTTTAATGGGCCTAATTATGCTTAAGACCTTTAGAGCTGTTTGGATAAGTTCTGGAAATGGGTTGTGGGATGTAACGTCACAGTCATCAATAGAAAAAGTAATGCACACTGCGTTAAAACGATGCTCAAATGATACAAACAAATAAAATAAAGTAGTCACGTTCCAGAGCATCAAAGTTGCACCAGTGTTTGTATGTGTTCCACTTTCTCTCCTCTCATTGAAGAAATGCATAGATTCTATCCCATCCATCACCTCCACCCCTCCCCTCAGTATCCAAACACAGAAGCGGCTAACGGCTCATTTCTAGCCCATTCTCTCCTGTGGCACCGTGGTGGGCAGAAAATTGCGCAGCTGACTTTGTCCTGCACAACCACATAACGCAGATTGTGTAGTTTTTACTCTCAGAAAGTCTTTTGTTGTGTTTTTTTCTTCCAGTGAGAAGGTGGAGATGAACCAGTTGAACGGATGCTGCAGCGCGTAAAAGTTGTGGATGGTTACTTTTGCGCATAAACATTTAAGGGACTATTTTATCTCCAAAAGTTGCTGTTTAATACAAGAGCAGGTGATTTTTTTCCCTCTGCAAAAATATCGCCCACAAGCAGGCTGGAAGACCATCCACTCCGGAGAACACAGCGAATCCGCAGAGCGCAGATGATCGCAACTGGTGTTTGTGGTGTCGCTCTGGTGCTGGTGTTGGTGGTTCTGATCCCGGTCATGGTGAACACCGCCGGGACACCTGCCCGCTACGAGATGCTCGGATCCTGTCAAATGGTGTGCGACTCTCACGGGACCGCGGCCACGGCCACAGCCAAGGCAACCAACCCCATCAAAGACAACCGTCTGGTTCAGTCGCTGCCGACGTTCATCCAGGGTCCCCAAGGAGAGCCGGGGCGCGTCGGGAGGATGGGTCCGAGGGGTCCGGGTGGCGAGCCAGGGCCACCTGGACCTGCTGGTCCCCCCGGAGAGAGAGGGGCGCCTGGCCCTCCGGGTCCACCGGGAGCACCCGGAGCAAATGGGCCCACCGGTGCAATCAGCGCTGCCACCTACAACACAATCCCAAAGATTGCGTTTTATGCAGGACTGAAGAAGCAGCATGAGGGATATGAAGTGCTGAAATTCGACGACGTAGTCACAAATCTTGGCAACCACTATGATCCCTCTTCAGGGAAATTCACCTGCTCAATACCGGGGATTTACTTCTTTGTTTACCATGTGCTGATGCGAGGCGGAGATGGAACCAGCATGTGGGCCGATCTCTGTAAAAACAGCCAGGTAGGACGCTTCATGATGTAACTGTTCAACAGTCTTTGAATTTGTTTCAGCTTTACTCTTCAGTTTTTTACTATATACAGTGAAAAGACATCATTTGATGGACACCTTCTTACTTTCGCAGTTTTACGCACACGTTTTACGCACAGTAGCGCCCAAACAGACACTCCAAAAATACATTACTTGGAAATTTAAAAACGAACAAATAATCAAAAAATGCTTACAGTGAAGTTGTCTGACGGCTGTTTTAAGTTTGAATTGAAAATGACAGTGTCCTCACTGATGTCCCCGGTCATGATTTCACAATAAAGACGCGTTTCATCGTTTCGAGTAAAACATGTCAAATTTGCCTTCCAGGTGAGAGCCAGTGCCATCGCCCAGGACGCCGATCAGAACTACGACTACGCCAGCAACAGTGTTGTCCTCCACCTCGAGCCCGGGGACGAGATTTACATCAAGCTGGACGGCGGAAAGGCGCACGGGGGCAACAACAACAAGTACAGCACCTTCTCCGGCTTCATGTTGTACGCTGATTGAAACACGGAAAATATCTGCTGAGGGGGGAAAGATCTGCTCTGCATATAGCTTGCTTCACTGCTCATGCTCAATTCAATGTCAGTTGGATTATTAGAGACAGAGCTCACCATTTTCCATATTGCAAAAGAGTCCAGAAACATGTGGAGGACATCATGCGAAAAAAAATGAAAAGAACTGCACTTTGCAATGAAGAGCTTACAGTGTAATTACAGAATAATGGACTTTAAAGTGTACAGCATTGAATTGTACCCCTTGTTCGATTGATTAGTGTCGCTTTTGCACCCTGAATGAACTGTTTAGCTTTACAAATTAAGTTTGCTGATATGTCAAACATACTGTAGCTGCTGTTAACATATACTGAGTGAGTCTAGACTGGAAGTTCAATGTATTGACATTTAGCACTCAATTATAGATGCTAAAATTATACTCACATAATCACCACTCTGTTCACAGTGTTCATAAGTCCACGTGTGTGCTTTATTTTCCAAAAATATTTAATGGTTGTTGCATTTTTGAGTGAAAATGTAAAAGCTGTGGTGATGCATGATTATAAAAAAATGACATTTCAACACTCTTAAGAGAAAATCTGTAAAAAGGGCCATTCTGATGCTCATATTGAAGAACTGTCACCATAATTATCATTGTAACTAATTTTTCTTGTCTCAATATGACAGCTGGTTGGGGCCGCGGGGTGGCCTGGTGGTTAGTCACCATCCCAAACTGACAGAAATGTTTCCTCGAGCTTGACGATGATCTGCTTGCTGACTGTTAAGCCCCTCCAGATAACACTGTCAGCCAATGTGTAAAATATAATGTACAATTAAGTCCTCTGGCTCACTCTCTAATCCTCTCTGAAGATAAATCAAAGTTATGTAGTTGTTCATGGTGAACAGTCAGCTGTGGCGATCATGCCATTGATCATGTGGTGAAGTCACCCTGTGAGGCCACCTGTTCCCAGATGAGAGGAGAACATGTCCTTCATCGGGGCCTGCCAGCCAGTCAGCCTCCCATAGACACCCAGACACCCACTGAGGGGCAACAGGACAACTCATCTAACACAGCCGCATTGTGACGAGAGCAGAGCAGCATACTGATTACTAACACGCTTGTTATTTTCAACTCATAAAAACATGTTTGCAGAACTGTCGCTTACAAATACAAAAAGAACGAAACGGTGACATTGACTCTGGAAAAAATCAATTAGCACCATATAAGCGAGCACCACTGTAGGCAATACCTCGAGATAAAAGACATTTTTTCTTTTCATATTTCTGCAGACATGGAAAAGATATTTTTGTGACAAAATATGTAATTAGAGGCACTATGATCCTGCATTCTCCTTTATATAATTTGCATTCAAAGTGAATGATATATAATTGCAAATATAAAATCAAGTTTTAATTAATGACGGTCTGTATAAAAGCTCTTTCAGCTGGATGAAACAACAGCTTGTAATCATTTTCCATCGGAAAGATGAAGTGATAGAACATTTTGCTATGCTGAAAAATGTAAGCCCATTGAAGACAAATTAACGCCCAAACACCGAAAGCTCATTGGTTTGAGGGTCCAAAAGTACATTTATAAAAGAGTTTAGACTGTGATTATTGCAAAGATCTCCAAGTATTCATTGTGGGGTGTTCAATAATCATCTGAAGATAAAATAATCGCTACATCAAAACACCTTCTTTGGGTCTCTGTTCATGCTTTATTTGAAGGTCAGCCAGCGTTTCGGGTTGTCGATGAGGATCTTATCCACCTGGTGCTGCGAGATGCCCCTCATCAGCATCTTCGGCACAATGTTCTTCAGGATGTGAGAGTAACCGTGGCCGCCGTACTTGGTGAGACGGTTCTTGGTGTGGATGTCGTGCGCGACCACTATCTTGTCCTCGTAGCCCTCCTTCACAAGGAACGCCAAGCTGAGCATGAACAGAGAAACGTGAAAAACGAGGGGGCCTTAAACATCACACAACTGACCGTTTTAGTTCAACTGTAATTGTCGATCTGCCTTCATGTGTTGTTGAACCTGTCTTTTGTATGTGGCCTGAATTTTGAGAGCAACATCACTCATTCATCACTCCTCCCGTTGACACATGCTCTTCCCTCCGGTGTAGAGGGAGATTGGTGTGTCTCAGTTTCTGGGAGAAACTGGAGGACACACTCGACTCTCCAAGGGGACTAAAACACAAACGCAGCATTTTGCTCTACATGATATACTTTACCTGATACACAATACATCAATATATTAAGGGGTTCTTTCATAGAAAAGGAAAGATAAATCTGACCTCAAATTTGTACACTGAGGTACATATTAAAATCTTAAGTGTGGACAATGTGGTCAAACTTAAGATTCGTTCCTGACGCGTCTAACCACTCACGCTTTCACTCTCTGGCTGTCGCTGGGCATGTCCACCTCCAGGTTATACGGGTAGTTCAGCATCTCCGTTCCAAACAGATCATACTCCAGATAACTCCCCAGCTTCGCAAATTCGAGCAGTTCACCATCATCAAATATAGTCCTGCAGGAAGAGAGCGGAAGGTTATTGAAATGAATGTGAAACATGCTAGAGTGGATCATAAGAACACAGCAGTGAGTAATATGGGTTGAACGATGTGTGTTTTTCAGGGCCGATACTGATTTTTAGAAAATCAAAGAGACCAGTAACAGATACTTGGAACCAATATTCATCCCCACCTTTCTTTCGTCCTTCTTAGGTGAACGTTTTGAATGAAGGTAAAAACAGCGTGTGAATTGACATTAGAAATCAGAAAAGTTGGTCTGTTATAAGGGTCGTCTTTTTAGTTTTCACTTATTTTCACCACCCTGAAAAGCAGATCAGTTTAAACTGATTTTCACACAGACTGTGTAGAAGACACAGATCACTGCTTTTTAATGTAAACAAGATTTTCTAACCCTAAACCTAAAGAAATAAATGAGGAGAAAAAGATTATGCAGCTGATTCCCTCTAAAGCAAACAAAAAGACAAGAGTTGTTTGCGCTATAAAATTAGATTTTCACCTATGTATTATTGACTTTCTCCCCACATGTATTGATCATCTGAATACACACAGATACATTTTATTTAAAATAATGAGCTCTGGGCCATCTCTGTAGAGCGCACGCCCCATCTACCATGGCCTTACCACAGTGGCCTCGCTGCATGTCTTCCTCCCTCTATCTGTCTCCCTCTCTCCCCATCCATCTTCTGCTGTACTAAATAAAGGTAAAAAAGCCCTCCAAAAATACCTCCTTTTTGTTTGGTTTATTATCATTGACAATGAGCTATATGTTGAAAGGGTCTGAAAGGTTTCCATCTACACCTGCCTGGCTTCAGCTATATGTCTGTAGACTCTACCACTAATACAATATAAGACAATAACTGTGACACATTACTATGATTATAGTCAACAATAAAATGATCTCTGAGGAAAATATGCAGCTTGTGACTGCCTCTACACTTTATATCACTTAATGTGTTATACGGTCAAATTTCTTAGGAAATCTGCTGGATTGTCTCATAACACCAAACAGGAAGTGTTGTTCTTCCAGTCCACACTAGCACTGCAACTAACAATTATTTTCATTATCAATTAATCTGTTGATGGTTCTCTCGATTAATTCATGGCAGAAAATGATGAAAACAATGTTGAGCACTGTTTTCCTAAGCCCAAGGTGATGTCCTCAAATGTCTTGTTTTGTCTACAAAACTAAAATATTCACTTGATTATCAATAGACACAAAATATTCACATTTCAGAAGCTGAAATCTGAAAATGTTGACTTTATCAAAATAGTTGGAGATTCATTCAATAGTCAACAACTAATTGATTAACTGACTAATCATTGGCGCTGTAGTGCATACAGAACTAAAGATATTCATATGTGAGGTTTAGAAAGGGAGACAATAAATGTCAAGACGTAGTAAGCTTTATAGAAAAGGTTTCATTGTGACTAATAAAAGGTTGATATCTAAAAAGCCTGATAAAACTGTCAAAAGGAGGATGTCATCCTTCAGCTAACACCTTCCAGAGACTTCTCACCTGTCCAGGTGTGACATGACAGTTTTGCTGATATCACCGCCGGCCTCCTGAAGGATCCGGACGACTTCAGCCGGAGCAGCGGGGTTCCTCCCGGGATGGATGATGACGGGACAGCCGAGCTGCGTCTGAGCGTGGGCCGTGGCCTTCAGCACCTTCGTCTCACTCTCTGTAATGGGCCAGCCGGTGCCGATCTCTCCGATCACGCCACAGCGGATGTCTGTGCCGTCTGCACCGTGAAGCACCTCGCTGACAATGATGTCTGTGAGCTGAGAACATGAGGAACTAGTTACTGACTTATTAGTGCATTAAAATAACTTATTCTGATTCCTGAGTTTTGTCCCTTTAGAGGCAAATGATGGGTGCACTGTCTCTATGTGTCAGAACTAAAGGGCTAGATTGAGAATCCATAAACCCGTTCCAATCAATCAAAAGATACAGAAGACTTCCTCTCAAATAAACACAGAACGTGCTGAGAGAATGAGTGAAATGTCAAAATGTCAAACTGATGAGGGCGTTCTTCCTGTCTGACTGAGTCATACAGTACCGGTAGCAAAGTCCAGACACACACAATCATAAAGTTTCCACAATAATTTAGTTCAAATTGTTTAAAACTTTCTGACAAACGCCACATTTAGGCCAAACTGGGCCACACCTTCTCCACACTCATTCTCTTGGTGGCCTCGGTGTGGGTGCAGTCCACATAGTACCCTGCTCCAGCGACAACGTGGACCCCGGTGTCCTTGGCCAGCTGCCTGAGGGTGGGTAGGTCCCGGTCGATGCCAGTGGTGGTGTTCTCCACTATGGTGCCCCCGCCGGCCTTCCTGTAGGCCAGCAGCTCATCCCGCACGGCGCTGGTCTCCTGCAACAGCAGCAGGTTCTCGTGGCAGCTGTAGGGGTTCTGTCTCAGCCAGTGCATGTGCTGCATCTTGAATGGGTTCTCCGCCACGGCCTCGTCGCCTGGAGGAGGAGG